TATAATATATATATATATATATATATATATATATATATATATATATATATATATAATTTCTTAATATTAATATTTATATATATTTTATTTATTATTTTTTTTAAAATACATTATATATATTAATTAATTTAAAATTTATTTTTTACTTTCTTATTTTATATTGTTAATATTTTGTTCGTTCTTAACTAATTTTTATCCAAAGGAAAATAATTATTATTTATATATTCTTATTTAAATTATATTTATTTATTTTTATTATTCTCAATTATATGTTCTAATTATTATTATTTATCTTCTTTTACTTAATATTAACTGTCATAAATGCTATTATTTTTTAAAGCAAACTATTATTATTAATAATTTTAAATTTAGTTTTTTTAAATATATAAACACATATCACCGTACTATTGTAATTACTATTATATAAACTATTTTTAATTATATATATAATTTATTATAAATTTTACATTTTATCTCATCTTATTATTAATAAACTATGTGTTAATAATATTAATAGTATTCATAAATTAGGAAATTTTTTATATTTGTAAAGTTTTATTAAATATATAGATTTAATTATTTTATTATAAATTAAACAATTAATTATAGCTAGAATTGTAATTTTGCATGAACTAATAACTTTGTATTTAATTTTTTATTTTATTTTTTTTATAAATTTATAATATTTTTACTATTAATAACTTTTATATTTACAATAAAGTATATAAAAATGTATTAAATTTGATTACTAATATTTTGTATTTTAAATATTTGTAAAAATTATAATATGTGTCTTATTTAAAATTTATTTAATATTATTAACTTTTATAAATCAATAATATTATTTTTTTAAAATAAATTTTTAAATATAAAATTATATTTAAATTTAAATAAAACTAAATAATATGATAGATATAGGTTAAAAATAAGAAAAACAAATTAATTATTTACCTGAAAAATTATAGTATTATATATTTTTCAATAAGAATAAAAATTTATTTTAATATTTATTAATTTTTAGTCAAAATAAAGAAATGAAATATACTATATTTTTAAAAAGGTAAAAATGATTAATATTTATAAAAAAATTATAATAAATTAAACATTTTCTTTATTATATACTTTATTAAACTAATTAAGAAGCTTTATTATGGTATAAATAGGTTTAAATATTTTAATTTATATATATATAAATTATTATTATAATTAATTAAAATTATTTTTTTAATAACAATATTAATAAAATAATAAAAAAAATAATGTAAACTTTTAATTAAAAAAAGTTATTTTCAATTAAATTATAGTTTTGACTATAATAATGAAAAATAATTAAATTTATTTAATTAAAATTTAAATAAATATTTTAATAATAATAAAGAGTAATTAAAAAAATAAAAAAATCTATATAATATTAATAATAAAAATAAAATAATTATACTCTTTAATTTTCTATATCTTATTAAAATTATATTAATTACCTGATATTAAAAAAATATATTAATTTTTGGTTTAATTTAAATATATTGTGAAAAAAAAAAATATATATATAAAATTAATTTTATTATTATTATACAAAAAAATTTAAAAATAAAATAAAATCTAATTAAAAAGAAATTAAATATTTGATATATATAATTATTAAAAAATTATAAAAAAAAGAATATTTAAGTTTTATATATAAAAAAAATTAAATATATAATATGAAATTGATTTATATAAATGACATAAATTGTATTATTAATAAAAATATCTTATAAATAATTTTATAAATATTAAATAAAAATATTTATATATATTTATATATATATAAAAAGTATATAAAAAATAACTTTAATATGTATTAAAAAAAAAAATTAAATTTAAAATATATTTAAAAAAAATATTTTTATTTTATAAAATAAATCTATAAATATTTAAACTTAATGAATAATGTGATTAAAATATATATATTTATATAAATATAAATATAAGTATAATATAAATATATATATTCATATATATTTATATATATTTATATATATTATTAATAAATTTTTTATTTTTTTTCTTATTTATTTATATTAAAAATTAAAATGGATAAATCTAATTAAAAAAAATATAAACGCAAATCTAGAACTCGTTCTAGAAGTAATAATAAATTCGATCAAAAAAAAAAGGAAAATAAATAATAAAAAAATGAATATGAACATAAAAAATCTGATTAAAATTCCTTACCTATTTCAAAAGTTGATTAATTTTGGGAAAAAAGAAAATAAGAATAATAATAAGATGAAGAAAAATTTGGTCCTGCTAAAAAATTAGAACAAAAAGGACCTGAAAAATTATAAGGAGTATCCTCCTATAATCCTGTTATGATAGAAGTCATTGTGAATGATAGAATGGGTAAAAAAGAAAGAATTAAATGTTTGCCTACTGATACAATAGGAATTTTTAAAAAATTAATTTAAGCAAAAACTGGTACAAGGTCAGAAAAAATAAAACTTTAAAAATGGCATTAAGTCTTTAAAGATCATATAACATTGGAAGATTATGAAATTCATGATGGTATGTCTTTAGAAATGTATTATAATTGAATTTTTATTTATAAATAGAAATTAAACTATATTAAATAGACAAATATATATATTTTAAAATTATCTGATTTAATGTTTATATTTATTTTTTTATAATAATTTATATTTATTTTTTTTCTATTAGAAAACAAAAACTAAATCAATTATAAATTAAATAAAAAAATTTTGATACTATTATAATTATTATGATTTTACCAACAATATTTTTTATATTATTATTAGTTTATTTATTTATATTATACTCATAATTTCTAATTATCTTAAATGTACAAAAAGTAATAAAATAGTTAATTAATTATATTTACTAACTTTATTTGTATTTAATTAGAAAAAATATAATTTTAAACAAAAAATATATCATAAAATTTACATTATATGTTTATAGATTAGGTGAAATAAAAAATATACATTAAATAACTTTTAAAAAGATCATATTAAGTATATATTATTTTAAATTACTTTAAAATTTATTATTTTGAGTTTCATATAAATAAATTATATATTAAAAATTTAAAAAGAATATTGAAATTAATATATAATATAATAAATAAATAAATAAAAAATTGTAATTATTCTAATTTGTACAAAACAATAAATAAATAAAAAATTAAATGAACATTTTGTCAAATAATAATTAAGTTTCTAAAGCAAATAATATAAAAGCTTTTATTAATTAAATATTAGTTATTAATTTATTTCATATATAAAATAACATAAATATAAATTATATATGAATAATTTAATAAAAAAAAACAGAAAAATATAATATATTTAAAATATTAATTAAAATTGAATAAATGTTAATAGTAAAAATGTTTGATTGATAATTTTTATATTAAAAGCTTAAAATAAAATCAAAAATATAATAAAAATAAAATAATAATCCAATTATATATAAATATTTAATATTATAAAAAATTAAAGATATATATATAATCAGAAAAAATAAAATATTAGTAAAAATAATAAAAATGATTTTAACAAAAAAGTTAAAATAAATAATTTACTTATTTAAATATAATATTTATCGGATATAAATAAATAATGTAAATACTAAAATAGAAATTTAAAATTAATAAGGAAGGAATTTTATAATTAATAGATAATAATTATTCAATAAAATAATCAAAAATTAAATTTAAAATATTAACTAAAAAATATATGAGCATGAAAAAAAAAAAATTAGTAAAAAAAAAAAAATCGAAAAAGTAAATTAAATAGTATTCATTAAAAATGTTTTGAAAAATAATATTTAATTAAATTATGATTTTTTTATTTATAATATAAAAATAATTGTTAATAATATAAACAAAAGAAATCAAAATATTTATAAAAAATAATAGAATACTAAATTAAAAGATAAAAAATATTTTAAAAATTAACTCAAATAAAAAAAAAAATTACTAAAAAATAAAAATATAGTAAAAAACAAAAAAAATAGAAAAATTTAATTCAAATATATATATAAAGATTATAATATTAAAAAAAATTATTAAGAAAATGTATAATAAAATAAATACATTAGAATTGTAATAAAAATTATAAGAAAAATAATAATAATAATAAAAATAATAATAAAAATAATAATAAAAATAATAATAATAATAATAATAATAATAATAATAATAATAATAATAATAATTTAAATAAATATATTAATTATATTATTTTTAATTACAAATAATTATTTTCAAATAATAATAATTTTATGAATAATTAAACATAAAATTTATTATTATTAATAAAATAATTTTTAGTTTTTAAATACACAATATATTTTAAGTATATCATAATCCTATTAATAATAATAATATTAATTTAAAAATCTATATTTAATTAACAATAAAATTTTATTAACTTTTAATTTTTATTTAAGATCCAAAATTTTTTATTTTTAAAAATAAAATATTTTTATTCTTTATTTTTTTTGTCTTTTATTTCTAATATAAATTATATATTATTTTATAAAATAAATAATTACAAATAATAATTTTCTATTTATATTTTATAAAAAATAAAATAAATAAGGAATTTAAATTAATTAATTTAAAATTAAAAAGAAATACATTAAAAAATTGTTACAAAACTAAAAAAATATAAAAAAAATATATATGAAATAATTTTTTTTTATTCAAATATTATTATAAAAAAAAAAAATTATCATATTCCACCTTAACCAAATGGCATCATAAGCTTATACATTTCTTATTCAATTTCCTATAATAATAAAATAATTTCATGATCATTAGTCATTTCTGTCCTTGTCATAACTTTCATTTAATCTTCTTCTTCTACTTTAAATTATTCATGGATATAATCATGGAGCATAGTGCTGATGATAGTGGGAATAAGTTAAACAGTCTCATTATTAGAGGACAATTTATTAATCGAATTTTTCAGTAATTAAGGTTATTATTTCAATAATTCGATTTAAAATTTAATGATTTCTTTAATTCTATCTACTGTTAAGTTCTTTTGAGAGGCAATTTTTTCTTTTATTTTTTGTCTAATTGCAGCCTAAAACATATAAATTTCTTAATAATGTCCTTATTCCATAAAAGCTATTACAGACTCTTCAAAATCATCGCATGAAATATTTAATTCTTCCAAAATGCAAGACTAGGCTTTTCTTAAAATATTCTCTACATTATCATTATATTAAAGAATTAATTTCTCATATTATTCACCATCTGTTTTCATTAATTTTCTTCTGCTTTCTCTATTGTTTAATGTTTCTTATACATACTCATCACCTGCTAATTCTATGGAGTATTCTAATACTTAAGAAATAGTATTCATGTCATAAAAATTAGAATTTCCGATTTTTTTCACGGCTATTTTTTAAGATATTTGTCTAGCTTTTAATTTGTATTATTCTTCATCTTAAAATCCGGTTATTGAATTTCTTTATAGCTAATTTGTTTGCTAATTTTTTTATACTTTGTTTTCGCTTTAAATTTTATTGAAAAAATAGTATGCTCCTAATGCAGCAAAAGAAGCTGCTGCTGTAACAAATATTACTTTTTTATTTTTGTTAAAGAATTATTATATATCACTCATTATTTCTTTTTTTCTTTTTTGATTAATTTATATTTTATTTTTATGATTTTATTAATATAATTTTGAAATAAATATATGTTTATACTATTATTTTTTATATATATATATATTTTATTTGAAAATAATTATTTATTTCACATATCTTTTTTTTTTTTAATTTATTATAAAATATATAAATTTTTATTTTTAAAAAAATAATATAGGTTTATTTTTATTATCTTATCTCATTTAATAATGATAATTTATATAATCAAATAAAAAAAATATTTATATTTATTTTTGTATAAACTAAAATTTTTTTTTAAAATTTTAATTAATTAAAAAATATTTTTAATATTATTTATATGAATAATAAATATATTTATTTATATTCTTAAAAAACAAAATTTATATATTTATAAATAATAATATAAATTATGTTTAGTATTCAAAATTATAATGTTTGAAATAATTTATATTCATATAATTAATTAAATAAAAATATAAAATTAATAAAGAAATAGAGCTTTATAAATTTATATGAATAATAAATATTAAAAATATTCATATTAATAAAATTTTTATTAATATAAATATATGAAAAATATATAAATATATATTAATATATATTTTAATATATATTAAAAGATAAAATTGCATATAT